AAAAAAAATGATTTTGTACCGGCTAACATATTTAAAAATTTTAACGGAAGAAAAAAGATAAACTTGCGAAGAAAATTCAAATTATTTTGATGCCTTTTGATTCCTTGAACTAGTCGTATCTTTTTTTATATTTATAATTGTACCTACGATGGTGCTTTCCAGTGTTCACAGCAGATGCAAGTATATATTTAAAATTACACAAAAGCTCGCCACAATATGGTGAGAATGTATTCAGAATGAGCAGATGGCTTGAATGCGGGGTGATTTAGCGATTGCTTTGAAAGCTTATTCATTAATACCAGCTTAAGCTCGTCTCTGTTATTCAAATTTTAATTTGAGAAGGCTCTTCGAGGATTATTTTAGCAAGGGAGGAGATGGGAAGTTCTAGGAATTCTCCTTCACCCATCATGCCTTACTCGCTACTCTCGTCCCCAGGGCCTTATCTTAAACGACTGAAGCGATGTTTCGTCCGCCATCTTGAAATAAATGGCTTGTATTCCAATACATTTTTAGTGCATTTTTTTCCTTGGACTTTTTTCAAACTATATTTACATTCTTTTTATACATGACGCGATAACACTTTTCAAATTTGCTGGTCTGGTAAAGCAATATTCTGTGTTCTTTACATGCGAAATGCAATGATTGAATAAAGCTGGTTCTACGAARAGYCCTATAAACGAGGAGATTAATGTCCCACAGTTGGGAGCAAAAAGTGCCATCGTYAATACAAATTCGCGTTCATTTCCTTCAAACGAAGCGCGGAGGATCTCAAGACMAYTTGAATATATCAGMCCAATAACAACTCCACCGGTAAAACAAAAAAATATGAGAGCTCCAACTCCTGGAAAAAAGCGAAACCAAGATTCAAAGAAAAATAGTAWTAGATGGGCAAATTCCAAAGTAGCCAAAACCCATAGTAACACAGGCGTCGGTCTATACAACCATGAAGGTTTAACAATTCCAAGGATGCTCCTATTGGATCGCCCCAGGACCTCTCCTATCATCAGCGCGAGCGAGTAGTACTGGTAATGGTCACGTGGTGCAAAGGGTGAACTGGGATAAGCTATGGTCGTGATAACGGACTGATAAAATAAATACTCTGATGCAAATGCGAYTGRTAAGGGCCCTAAAACCAGATCAAGCAACTTCTTGAAAGCTGAAAACTTTTCTTTCCAGGTTAAAACGTCCTTACTGGCAAATGTGTGGACATCTTTCTGTGGTGTATCGTCTTCGTCCTCGCTATCTACAGCCTCTAGCTTGGAGTAAGGAACTTCCTTTCTTGTTGTCATCGCTGGTTTAAGCTCATCTTTAGTGATTTCTCTTTGGATAAAATAGTAGAATAGGAGTAATACCATTGAGCATGGCCCCAGTATTAGAAAAGTCGTCCTWGATGACACGCACAGCCATGTAGTCATTCCTAGAATGAAAAAATAAATAAAAAAGATTCTCAGGTAATAAAACTAAGGCCCGCGCTATACGCTGAACTTCACATGTGCCGGATACAATTTACGAATTAAATGCATGTGAGATATCGATGCGGCGTATAAATCAATTAAATTCGACAGCATTGGATTAAATACGACGTCAAACCAATCTGTGACTTAAACAGTCGATCGAAGATACGGCAATGGTGCGGCAGTTGGTTTAGAAATTTTTTTTTTTTTGGTAATGAATGAATGAAGAAGAGAAGGGAAATATTGAACATAAAATGGAAGTATATAATGGGAATGGAAAGGAGAGAAGGTGAATAGAGGGATGAATAGATGGAGAAAGGAAGGGAAGAAATTAAAGAAAATGTAAAAAACAAGTTTTAATAACTAAATAACTGTAGAAGTAAAAGGGGGGTTATAAATAGAAAAAATGGATAGATGAATGAATAAGAAATAAATATGTAAATAACAATAAATAAAAAGATAAACGAGGAACATTAACTGAATAAATAAAGAAATATAAAAAAACAAATTAAAGAAACGAATAAGTACATAGATAAATAAAAAAATGGATAAATGGATGTAAGCGAGAATGTGAGAGGAAACTGAAAGAAGAAGGGGGGGAAATGATAGTGATGAAATAGAAGGTGGCATGTATATGGGAAGGGGAAAGGAAATGATTGTTAATGACTGGATGTTGTAAGTGTGTGGGGGTGATAGTAAGAGGTGAGTGGAATAAATGAGTGGGAAAGAGATGGAGAATAATGACCATGTTGAGAATGAACATGAACTTGAAAGTGTGTATGGGAATGGACAGGCGGGGAAAAGAATAAATGAGACGAAAGGATTGAGAAACGCGAGAAGAAGAAAATGAGTAAAAGAGTTAGCATCGGTAGTTGTAAAGGGATGGAAAATAGAAACATGAAAAGTGAGTTTTATTTGTCCGAGAGGGGATTGGGAATTAAATTCACTTAAAATTCGGCGTCTAAATCAAATGCCGTATTTAATCTATTATAAAGTCGACTTAAATAAGAGTTGTATTCGGCACATGTGAAGTTCGCCGGGCGTAGAGCGCGGGCCTAACGATTCCCTATTTGTCACTATCTATTGTCATATATTTTTTGCACTCTATTAATGATGAACCAGAACGCAATCAAGATGAATTAAAAATGGTCTCATGTGGATTTATCATTGTGTTCTGGTTCATTGATACTGACAACTTGTCTCTAAATAGCTGCTATTTGTTAGTATTTAGTTTGATTTTAGAGTCATTTTCAT